CCTCTTATCAGAGCTAACCCTAACACAGGGTTGGGCGATAAAACAATAACCTTATAGACACATGATCGTCTGATAGAAGATTGATAATTTCACTAAAGTGATCCAGAAGTGCACAACTTTGTGGGGAATGCAGGCAGAGGAAAGACATCAGCTGCTCGAACCTCTCATAGCTCAGCTAAGCCAGGCTGAAGGCATTAACTAACTCACTCAGTGGTAATCTGCAACAACCTGTTGAGTAACATGCGCAGCAGCAGCTTCATGTTTCACCATCGTGCCTCACCAATGATGAAAAATAAAAAAGCAGAACGTGGAGTGAACGGAGAAAATGAGTGCAACAAGTCGAGCAGAAATTGTGGATAAAAGATGAAAAGGTCACGTTGCCAGTTTGGCAGGATTAATCAGCCTTTCTTCTTCTGGTCCTTATCTCAAATAGGTAAAACAAAAAACTAATCATTAGTTATCAATATCAACTGATAAGAAACACATGCTGATACATTTTACAACCATACCACCCAGCCTTCCTTACATCAACCAAAACTAATCCTGATGAAAACGTTGGTCTGAACAGGATCTGTTTAAAAACTCTGGAAGCTCCCGGGTCACCTTCTGAACAGTTTCTAAAGATGATCCTATACAGGGAGGTCATTAAGTTTCATGATTTATGATTCAACGTAGTGACATCATCTCATCACAGACATCTATGACATCATCATCTTTGATTCATATTCTGTGTCAACAATGAGAATGTCTTCAGGATATCGATGTGAAGATCCAAGCTAAAAGCAAACTTCAGGTTGAAGTGAAAACTCTTCCTCTGATGTCACGCCTCATTTGCACTGTACCCCAGCTAAGACACATCAATGAAACATGCTTGGCTCCTTCTTCAAAAGTCTGTTAGCTGCGAGGCAACAGAGCTAACTGCTAAGCTGTCAACATGTTGCCAAACCCAGCAAACTGAACAACGTTGACTTCAGGTCATCTGCTCTCAGAAAACCCAAGACCTGGACAAACGTTACTTGAGCAGAGTTGATAAGAATCTGCAGAGGGAAGTGATGCTTCACTGTAGGATTTCCAGTGTGGAAAATACCCATCAGCAGCAGCAGCAGCAGCTACAGCAGAGGCCTCAGGTTGGGTAATGATGACGATGGTAGTGGAGTAACTGTAGATGCTGATAGATCTCCTATCTGACACAGAAACCACACCTCAAGACTTAGACCAGTCCCTGAAATATACTGGTAAAACAAACACATCTGCATTTCTATTCTTATTAGGACCAAACATTGACTTTAAGACATTTCTGTAGATATTACCCTAAACCTAACACTTACCAGTACATAACTAACCCCTAACCTAACACTTACCAGTACATAACTAACCCCTAACCTAACACTTACCA